TAAGAAGCCTAAACATCTTCGCCTTGTACCGGCAGAAGAAAACGTCCTGTTTCCGGTTTAACAGAGATTCAAGAGAATCTCGCGGGGAAAAATATTCTCCCCGGTCGAAGAACGGAGGGACGGCAGCGATTTAGCAAGGAAAAGAAAAGCACAGCTTGAAGTGCTGTACCATAAACAAACAGCAACACCGACTCAAAAAGCCAAAAAGCTTCAGAAAAAGAACAGCTCTGAAGGGCAAAGTCCCAGGTATGGCTAAGGGGGCACGGCACCCCCGTGCCAAGGGAGCCGTGGCGGGCGGACACCAGAGCGAGCTCTAGCAGGAGAGCAACGCAGCTCCCGTAACTCACCAACCCCAACAAATGTCAGGGTTTACCGACTCAAAAAAGAGAGCTACACGGCTGTACCGTGCACCCACACAGCCTGGGGTCTCTCCGTACCTGCAGGGTCCCTGGCGGAGAAAGACCCCTTTCTTACTGGGGATCTGCCTTACAATGGCACCAGCAGTTCTCCCTTGTCCCCTTCCCCACCCCATGGACTTGGGGTCAGGCTTTCCCCGCTGTAGGAATTGGCAGGCAGCTAGGAAAGAAAATCCACTAGACTTTCCCTACGTGACAGGTTCTTTCCAGCAGTTGGCCAGGGAAGGACATGAACGTCACAAAAGCGCTGAGGTGGCTGTAACTCCAACAACGTATCTGGCATCCAGAACGTGGCAAGAAGAGCAGCATCTGGGTAAAAGCAGAGCAAAGAAAGTTCCCAAGGTGTTTTCACAGAGTGTTATTTTCAGCCTAACTGCCCAGAAAGCAACATTTTGGGGGGGCGGGGAGAAGAGGTGACAGTTTCAGCCCACCATGTCGAGTGGAGAGGTTTCTCCTGAACAACTCCTTTGAGACGACTCGCTGTAGAAAGTTGTGATGAGTTTCTCGTTCCCTGGGCGTACGCTTGCAGTTCTCAAGGCAATGTCCGACCGGAGTCCTGCTCCTCGGCCGAGGTTTAGGATACCAGCTCTGGCCTTCTGCTGAGGCAAATGCGTGGAAGAGGCAAAGCTGCAACTGCAATACTGTGAGGACCCGGGGCTGTGCCAGGTGCTTTTAGCTAATACAGATAATAAATAATTGCAGTCGCCATGAAACTTCCTGGTTGGAACTGGCTCCAGATGAACAAAACTGTTGAACAAATCACCAGCTAGGAAAAAAAAACCCAAACCAAAACAAGGCAAAAACCAGTGCCTCTATTTAGAAGACAATAATACATTTTTAAAATATGTTTCACTGTCTAGATCTAATGGAAATACTTCTCAATGAGAATATACTTTTAATTGGGGAAAAAAATACTTTTGTGATTTTTTTAAAACAAGTTTCCACTTGACAAGTAAAAAAACTGCTATGACTTCTCAAGGCCCTATACGTACCTTAATATGGAGGTGCGCTTTTGTCCTAAACAGTAAATGTAACTGCCAAGTCTGCATTTGCATTAAACCACACAGCTGATAACTGTGACACAAATACCAGAGAAAAAAGAACACCATTTTTCTACCCTCCACCATCAAGAACAATGTTGTGTTGTGTTCTGTTTTTTAAGTTGAAGAAAAAACCCAAAAACTTAAGGATAAATCCATCGCTAACATGCAACGGGATCCTGTG